CATGTTAATAAGCCTGCAAAATTAGTTAACGCTAACATTTTGTTAAGATTAAAAGTAGATTCTCTTTTATCAAGATTTTCAACTATGAAAATAAAAGACGCGTTTGAAACTCGTACTAAAATGATTTTATTTTTATATGAAAATAGAAATGAAAACGTTTTTAATCTCATATAGAAATCATTTTTAAAAATGCGTTTAATAGTTTTATTAAGAGATTATTTTTAGCATAAAAAACTCATTAATGTCTCTCTCTGCTCGAGAGATGAGAAAACGAAAATAAAAAATAAAAAACGACTAAAAGTCATTTTTCATTTCTCTCTTATTTTACACTAAACAAAAAAATTGTTTTTATTTTTATTTTTTATCTTTAATTGTGTCAAACGCCGTTTTGGAATCGTTTTCATTTTTTCTTTCTCGAAAAATGTGAAAAAAAAAATCCCAAACACAGGAAAAGATATGGTCTTTTCTGATTTTTAATTTCGTGGATCAAAATAAGAAAAATATTTGGGGCCAATCTCTATTAGTGTGTGATGAGAAATATTACAACATGTTGACTTTTAGAGGTATTTTATATGAAAATATGTACCCAAAAATTACTTGATTTTTCCCCTAAAAAAATAAAAAAGGATGGTTTTAGCGGTTGCTTCAGTTCATCTTTCAGGTCAGTTCACACTACATGTAGCGGAGTGTTTAGCCATTAGAGAAAGTGTGTAGCTCGATGCGTCTGAAAGCTATATGGATTGGGTAGTTTAGTCCGATGCAATTAACGAGGTTCAAGTCGTTCAATGCTCTTCTGATCAAGCTCTTGAGGCTGCTATAATTTAATATATTAGGGACGTCATTTCTTGTGGCTCTGTTTGCTACACTTCTCGTGAAGGAAACGGTATAGTCCACACGTTGAGGGGTTTTGTTTTTACTCGTTCTATTATCATGTTTTGGTTTTTTAGTTTCTTATTTTATTAGTCGTGATGTAATGAACGATATTCCTCGCATTTAATAATTCACATGTTTTTTCCTAAAAATAAAAACTTCATTTTTCTTAGGGTTTAATTTTTCAGTTTGATACTGTGTATTTTAAGGTTATAAAAATATTAATACTTTTGCTCGTTTGTTTCCTATACTTGAACTTATGATTCCAATTATGTTATAGTATTTTTTGTCTCATAAAGAATGAATTTAAAATTTTTTTCTTTTACAAAGTTCTCGTCAATAAATCATAATCACTGACTTGAACGCGTGAACCAACAAACCCTTTATATTTTTGAATAATATGACCTCTATTCCTTCATTTCAAATTCATGTTATAAATATGATAAAAAAATCAAAAACACGCACGATCCTGAAAAAGCTTTATGGTGGTTGATTTTTATTGAAAAAGCTAACATCTATTAAATTAGATTTTACTTCTTTATTGATTGATTAAACATTCTTACCAGAGAAAAATAAAAAGGGTAATTAGTATGGATGGTCCTTAATCTCTTTAGTAGGTGACATATTGATCCATATTCTTTTAATTTTGGTAAAACGATCTCCAAACTCTCAAAACATTGGCAATCAAGCCCTTTATGTCAAAATCCATTAAGTTTTTAACAGACTCTTTCATGTGAGCCGTCATGTGCTCTCTTTTTTAGTGAGAAGACCAAAACACCCTTAAAAGAAAAAAAAATTAAAAACAAAAAAACTCAAACCAGAAAAAAAAAAAAAAAAAAACAGACAAAAACAAAACCAAACTCTTCCATCGTCAACATTGTCGACAACCATTACTGTCCTTCTGCCACACTTCCACCACAAAACCAAAATCACTATCTAATCAAGATAATGGAATCTAAAAAATAGCATAAACCAAACAAAATCATAAAACCTAAACCTGTAACACCCTGAAGAATTAATTGAGATTAATTAAGATAATTGAGATTATTAGTGTGCCTAATCTGGATTATTAATTGAGTATTAATTAATAAATGTTTCTGACACGTGTGAGTTTAAATAGTTCCAAGGTATTTAAATTATTCTCAGTAATTTATTTGAACCCAGAAGTATGTATGGGCGCATTTTCTGGACTGTTGTTTTAAAATATTGTACACATGTCATTTTCTTTTCCTTTTCTTTTCTTTTCTTTTTCCTTTTTTCTTTTCCTTTCCTTTTTCCTTTCCTTTCCCGTGCTCACTCTCTCTCTCACTCTCTCCTACTTTCCTGTACTTTCTCTCTCTATCTCTCTCATTTTTGTCCCAAATCAAACGGATCTTGAACCAAGGAAAAATTTAAAGAAGTTTTCAACGTCAAGAGAAGGATTTGAGGTAAGATTACTGAAAGAACCTCTCTTGAATTTTAAGTTTTTGAATTTCAAAACTTATTTTTGGTTCAAACCGGATTTTGATGGTTTTTGAGTAAAACTAGAGTAGAAATTGGAGATCTTGGGTTCTTTAGACTTGTTTTAGGACCTAGAACCCAGATCTAGTTGTTTTCCTTTGAAATATCTCAATTTGGGACTGAATTTGTAGGTTTTGGACTGATTTCTGTGATCTTCTCTCGCGCAGCTGATTGCACCGGTCGACCGGATCACATGGAAACCGATTGACCTATGCGGTCGATCGGATTGCAGGCTGACCGGTCGACCGGTGTGCACACTACCGGTCGACCGGTAGTGTTGCACTGCTCTGTCACCGGTCGACCGGTTGACACGGGGTTTGACCCTGTTTGGCCTGAAATTGCTGTTTTGACCCCTGTTTTCAGGGAGAACCCAAATTAGCTTTATTTGGGGACTTGAGATAAACAGATTAGCATTGTTAATCCTTGATTTGAGATTGAAAACCCTTGGAATGATAATTTGAAACATAAAAATGGATTAGGGCACACTAATTGAAAATCTTGATATCTAATTGAGATTTGGGTTGCTTTAGGAATGAGAATTAATCATAAAGTGTTGTCTTACATCAGTGATCGCGGAGGATTTAGATTGAAGGGGCTTGAGGAAGCGGAAGCCGAAAAGGCAACGCTAGTCCCAAGTTTGATTGTGCGAGATAGGATTTCTATCCCTTTTCCTTGTGAGCCTGTTTTCAAAAGGATTTTGGCCTTGAAAATGTTTTAAAGAAAGTGATTGGTTTGTGAAAGAAAATGCTTTGAAAACTATGGCTTGTTTAGTCATGGAACCTCATGGCTTGCCCAGTCATGGGGCCCGCAGCTTGAGTAGTTCATGGGGTCATAAAAATGATTTTAGAAAAGTTAATGAATGATTTCTTAAGCAAAGAGATCTTGTGAACTGGTAATATAGTCTATTGCTGTAAGCCTAGATAGGATGCAGAGAGTGCATCCTCGGGGGCAGAACTCGAAACTCGGTCCAGGTAGGCGAGGCACTTGGTTAGGTAAGTAATTTGTACTAATTACTTACTGAAGCCTGTAATATGGTTGTTTTCAGTTATATTTCCTTTGAGAAAAAGGATGTGAGGTTCCGGCTGTTCCGTCAGAACTGAATGTCTAATTTTATTTACTTATTCATTCATTCATTTACTCGCTCATTTATTTATTCATTTCTTTTCAGGCATTTCAAATTATATCCTACTGGATATTTTGCTCACGTTTTATGTTTCAAATGTATTAAACCCCTCCAGGAGACTCTAGGAGCGGTGCACTGTAGTTGGATAATTGTTACGGAGCAGTTGAGTTGTGCTGCTGTTGGAATCAAGTGAGGATTGAGTTCATCCTCTTGGACAAATGTAAGGAATTTGAGAAATTCTGTAAACTTATGTAATATTTGGATTAACTAGACTGTGGTTGATGTCTGTTGTAATGATTATTTACATGAGCATGTATGTATGATACTGTATGTCCTGTGAGGTGGAGCCCTGTGTGTCAGAGGCTCCGGAATTCTATAATTTATTTATATTTTAATGCAGTTGAGTGAGGCTTGTCTGAGAATCTGCTTTATTAACCCCTAATCGAGCTCCACGTCACCCACCCCGTTTGGGGGGGCGTGACAAAACCAAATAACAAGAAAATCATAGAAACCTAAACAAAAGGGTCTCGTCAAAGAAAAGGGTTATTGCAGATCATTGGAGAGAGTTGCATAGTGAGAACTCCTCCACACATCCCTCCCCACCACCTCTCGTGCACAGCTCGAGCCCCCTGCCCCCTTCCGTCGCAAGATCACCACCCTTCTCTCACTATTGTGAGATCGCACCCCCCTCCATCCCTGTTGTCGTGAAATCGAAGGTCCCTCACCTTGTCGTCGTGAGATTGAGCCCACCCTTCCCTGTCAACACTAGATTGAAGCCCCCTCGTCCTCATCGCCGCGAAGTAAGAGCCACCTGTCGCTTGTTCAGATTGGAGTTCCTTTTCTTTCTCTGTCTCCCTACGCCGTTATCGTCGCCCAGATCTCTAAAAGCCCAACATCGCTGCCGGGATCTCAGCGAATCAGAAGGCCGCGCCATTGCCCAAATCTCCGCAAACCCTGAATGCCGCTGCCAAGACTTCGTGAACCCAAGGCCGCTACCTAGAATTTGCAAACTTAGAACGCCGCCACCACCTAGAGTTTGCAAACCCAACGCCAACGGTCTCCTCTCTCTCTCGCTAGCTAATTCCAAGTTTTCTGAATAATATCAGTCTCAAATTGAATAAACTCGTGATTTTATGAAAATAACCCTTGTAATCGGGTCACATGAGGATCACACGGGTTTAAATGTGGGTAATTTGACGGATCTAGACGAAAAAAACTTAATTACACCTATTTAATAACGTTATGGATCGTTTTATTAAAATTAAAAGAATAAGAATTAAATTATCACGTATTAAAAAAATTATGTGGCGTTTGGTTTATGGATTCAAATAATGTAATTAGAATTATTTTCGATTTACGTGTATTTTTTATGAAAAAAAATACTGTAATAAACTACGAACTATGATTCGAATCAGAAAACGAATCTAGGTACCAAACGGACTCTTAAGATCATATGTACTAATAATCAAAATAAAAATAACAAAATCAGAAAAAGGAACCAAAATCACACGTGCCTGACACTAGTTTTCAGCAAAGAGCGATTAGCGAGGGTGTTGAATGGCGAAATCCTCTCTCTCACTCCAATTCACAATCCTCTTCTCTCTTTCTCTATCCGCCGCCTACTCCATCTCTTCCTCTCTCAAGTCGCTTTCGCTATCCGCACCCTCCGGAGCCCCCAAGGCCACTCCTTCCGATTTGCTCTCTCTTCTCGGCCCCAAACGCCGCTCCTCGGCGGTCAATCCTCTTGTGGCCCAAGAACTCAAGTCATGCTTCAAATTTCTCGTGCCTTTTACTCCGAATCGGAACGAAACGGTCCGTGGAAGCTGGTTTTCCCATAGAAGGAGCTTGAGACCGGACAGAAATGGAGGTCGGACGAGGAGAGAGGAGGAGGAGAACGAGCTCGTTTGGTGGCCCCCACGGCCAGTGTTGGAATTGGCTCGGCTCGCCGTCGATTCCGGTGGCGATCCCGGAGCTATTCATAGAGCTCTTGACCCGACCATAATTCCTGTCAGTTTGTGTTCTTCGTTTCTTAACCCTTTTTTTTTTTCCTTTCCATTTTCACTGTCTTTATCTGATTCTTTTCTCTGTGGATATTATATAGTTACTTGGTTATAAGAGTGTTTTGGTCTTCTTTCTTTACTGAAGTGGTTGTCTATACTATGAATAGATAATGTGTGTTTGTGTGTGTTTAAACCGAGTATGAGTATGCTCAATTCTGTAATTGACAATTTTGCTCCACTTGCATGATATTTAAGGTGTTTAAGTTAATCTAGCCTCTAGGATATTTATGTTGGCAACCAGTTTATAGACTTAAGGACCACATTGGGCTTTTATGCTAAGACTTATCCGACCCAAATTGCCAACAATTTAAGGCTGACGATAAGTCAACGTTAGTATCCGGGTTTTCATCAAAATTACTAAACTCAATGACTTTGGTAATCTAGGGGCTTTTATTATTTTTGGGTAAAAAAAAAAAGAAAAAATCTACAAGGATCACTCCTAATTTTTTTTAAGGGTAAATAATCTCAAGGATGATTCGTTTGGTGACGTGATAGGTACCTGATGTTGAAGGATCAGAAGAAGTAAGGTGTCAGCTCACCAGAACACCATATGGGAGACACTTTATAAGTGAGGTTTGCATCAAAGAAATAAAACTCAAGTTCACTCTATGCTAATCATGTAACTTTTTCTTGATGTTTGTTAATGTAATTTACTATGCTAAAATTGCAGGAACTGAATTCGTACTTTGAGTTGTTGTTTGAACTTATTGTTGCTAGGGCTCCCGCTATTGGGTTGAATTTATCGTTGACTCGCTATGATTTGTTTCATGGGCACCTTTTAATTGCCAGAGACACCGGAAGACTTGGTATATTGTAAGTTGTCCCCCCTTTTTTTTATTATTGCCTATTTGTACTTAAAAGGCTTTTATTACAAAAGGTATTACCTGCCCTTGGTGTTTACAATATAATTTTCATTTGGCAGGTTTCATGCAAAAGAATACCCAGCATTTGATAAAAAAACGTTTCCATACAACATGGGCTATTGTCAAAGAGGTAAATTCCACTAAAATAATTTCATCACTCTTTGTTTTATCTTCAGATTATGACTGACTTGGAGTCTGATATTCTTGCAGGGTCAAATGTGACATATGATGATTCAATGAACTTGCGAAATATTCTTTGGCTGGCTCCGTTGCCCAGCAATTCAAACAAAGCTTGGGAAGCACCAGGTACTTTCCTGGTATACTCATTTTCCACTTAATTGGCATCTCTTATAACTGATCTAAGATCAGCTTTATTAACATATGTGTTGGAGTTCAAAGGTACAATTAACTAATTTAATTCCCTTTTTTTCCATTGTAAATTTTGCTACGGAATTACAAAAATAATTCGAGGAATTTGAAATTTTATGAGAAACATATATCCATAATAATACCTACCTAGTCATGGTCATAGGAAGATCTGATAATTTGTTTCTTTTAAGTATCACGTTTCTCATTTATCAAACTTGAACTCTCGTTTTTTCTGTTTTTCAATTATCATTGAAAATCTCATAAAGATATATTCTTGATCTCAAAATCTAGACAGAGATTATTGATCTTTGCACGACCATTACACATATGGTTTGTTATACAATTCCAATAGGTGTCCTGGTGGTGCTGGATGCCTGTCCCGGAGGAATTATATATCGAGATATTATACCTGAATATGCCAATTTTGTGAGAACCATATATGAAGGTTTTAACTATCTTTTTCACTTTATTTTGTGACTTTAGTTTGAGAATTTGTATCTTCTCATTGTTTCACTAGCTTTGAACTGGTTTCAGAGAATTAAACTAACACAAGGTTGTTCTTTCTTCTGGTCAGATGATCTCGGGGATGTTATAGTCGATGTCAATTACTTGAACGTAGGAGATGAAGTCCCAAATTATAAACTTTTCATTTGTTGACATTCTTTGTAAGTTACACCCGAACTTGTTTTACCCTTTTTTTTCTCTCTCCTGGCCAATGGTGGTTGAACAGTAAATCAATCTCAAATAACAGATTGCCATAATATTTGTGGAAAAACCGAGTAATTGGAGAGGAATCCAGCTACTTTCCTTATTTGACTAAGTGTAAATTAGTTTCTTGATTTCTAGAGTTATATTAGGAATGTTCTAGGATAATTGGAAGTAAGTTTCTCTTTTTTTTTAGGAGAGAATCACCGGAATTTCTCCTTGGATGATTAAGGTTCTTGGTTCTTCTCTATTTAAAGAGAAAGAGTGATTGTAAAAGTGTGTAATATGAGATAAAGCAATTTCATCTTTTCTCCCAAATACCTTTATGGTATCAGAGCAGGAATAATGCTTTATTCCCATGGCGAAACCCGCCATGACAGGGGCTTCTCGTGAAGCCACCTCCGACGCAACCAGCGAGCACATCTCGCCAACGACTTAGAACTCCCAAGGAGGATCACAGCAAATCATCAACGTCAGTGATAGTCACTCACTGCAGATCACACATCACAAGTTAAACGGAGCCAATTTGGTCCCAATCTGTTATCCTTTTTATTGATGGAAAGGGACGGCTAGATTACTTGACCGGAGAAGCCAAACCGCCTGAAATAGGGACACCGGCGTACAAGAAGTGGAAATTGGAGGACTCAACGGTGAAGGTGTGGCTGTTAAACTCAATGGAACTTGCCATTAGCCGAGTCGATCTTTACTACAAGAATACGAATGCAATTTGGGACATGGTAGAGGAGATGTATTCGGATCTTGAGAATTCAGCCCAAATCTTTGAAATAAAGTCAGCCCTAAGAGAAAAAAAGGCAAGGTAATCTTAGTGTCACCGAATACTATAATGAATTACAAGTATTGTGGCAGGAATTGGATTTGTACAAGGATTTCAATTGGAACTGCTCCACTGATAGTGCAAAATTCAATAAGATGCTTGACAAAGAACGAGTTTTTGACTTCCTACTCGGACTCAACAAGGAACTAGATGAAGTTCGTGGACGTGTGCTTGGTTTCAAACCTTTCCCCGAAATTAAGGAGGCTTGTAGAAGTGAGACGTGAAGAAACGCGGCAAAGAGTGATGCTTGGCCGAAAGGAGAAAAACGTGTAGCCTGTTATGGAACCACCTCACCAAGAGTCAGCATTGGTGGTTAGGAAAAGTCCTAGTTCCAGTGGAGATGGCCGAAATCAGAGGAGGAATGATAGACCAAGGTGTGACCACTGCAAACGTAATGGACACACAAAGGACACATGCTGGGACAATAATGGGAAGCCAGCGGACTGGAAACCAGCAAAAGAACGTTGGCGCCAGCGACAACTTTTTTAGATATAGATAACTAGGATGACCAAGTCTATTGTGCCATAACATAATTTCATTGGAAACATAAGCAGAATTACAACTAAAAGCTTGAACTTGTTTATTCTTAGAAAGTGGAGAACCTTCGAATAGGTATAGCCCATCACATTCCTTAGCACTGCCAATCGTTCTCCCTGAAAGTAAATCCTGAAACTCACACAAAGAATGAGAGAACATAGCAGAACAATTCATATCTCTTGGTAACTTCGCAATGGACAAAAGATTACAGGCAATAGTGGGAATATATAACACAGAATGCAATGTTATATAATCCGAAATTCTCATTGTTCCTTTTCTTGTTACGGATGCTAATGAGCCATCAACAATTTTAATCTTTAGACCATCATTATTAGTATTGAACTATGAGAAAAGACTCCTACAATTGGTCATGTGATATGAAGCTCCGGAATTAGCAATCCAAACATCTTTACACGTATTTTTGGTTGTTAGAGCGGAGAGAAAATGACCCTTTTGCGCTACTGTTGCTGTTGGCCCCATGGAGGATGTTGTTGTTGGTGCTCGCTGTGACAAGAGCACTTGAAGCTGCTCTAATTGCTCCTTGCTGAATGTCGAACCAATGCTGCTTTCTACAGCCTTTTCGCTTCCTCCAGATGAGGCTGCAAAGCCTTGGCCTTCACTAGGTTGTTGCTGGCACAATAGACTTGGTCATCCTAGTTTCCTATATCTAAAAAAGTTGTTTCCTTCTTTGTTTGTCAATAAAGATGTTCACTCGTTTGTTTGTGAAACATGTCAATTTGCAAAACATACCCGTGTTCCCTATCTTTTACAAATTTATAAAATCTCTAAACCTTTTTCACTCATTCATAGTGATGTTTGGGGGCCTTCAAGAATAAGTAATATATTTGGTGACCGCTGGTTTATAACCTTTGTTGATGATCACACTCGAGTTTGTTGGGTATTCCTTTTGAAAGAAAAATCAAATGCCACACGGATTTTCCAACAATTTCATAAAATGGTGGAAACCCAGTTTCAGACAAAAATCCAAATTCTTTGTATAGATAATGGACAAGAATACTTTAATAATACTTTTGGTCCTTATCTAGTAGAAAATGGAATAATTCATCAAAGCTCTTGTGTTGACACCCCTCAACAAAATGGTGTTGCAGAACGCAAGAACAAACACTTACTTGAAATGGCCTGTGCACTCATGTTCACTAATAATGTTCCTAAATCTTTCTGGGGTGAGACAGTTCTTACATCGCCCTATATGATCAATCGTCTTCCATCTCGTGTCCTTCAGTATCAAACACCTTTAAACATTCTTCGTCAGTCTTATCCTCAATCTCGCCTATTTCATAATCTTGTTCTCAAAACTTTCGAGTGTACTGTTTTTGTTCATTCAACCTCCCCTTAGCTAAGCAAACTTGATCCTAGAGCTGTCAAATGTATTTTCTTGGGCTACTCTCCAAATAAAAAGGGGTTCAAGTGTTACTGTCCAAGTACACGAAAAGTATACACATCCATGGATGTTTCTTTTTTCGAAGATCAAGCTTACTACCCCAAATCTACCCTTTAGGGGGAGAGTGACAGTGGAAGGCAGCTTTGGGATTTTTCCATTGAGTCAAAGTCTCATAGCACACCAGTTAAAAGCCCCGTGTTACCTATTGTGCTATCTAATGATTTGGAAACAGGTGGAGAATCACATGTGCAAAGTACACAAAATGAACCACAAAAAGAATCACAAAAAGAACTTCATGTTTATTCTAGGCGGGGTGGACAATCTCAAAGATAAGAGAAGCCTATCACTACTACAGAGCATTGTCAAGAGCCTGAACCGAAGGTAAACACACAAATGATTGAGACAGGTTTTGTTCCTGAGGAATCTGGAGTAGTGGAAAGTCAGTCAATTGAGTTAGAGCAGTCTGTCAGTGATCTTGAGGTCCCTATTGCTCTTCGGAAAGGTACCTGGACTTGTACTTAGCAACCTCTCTACAACTTCATGTCACTCACTCATCTATCCCCTACCTTTCGAGTTGCAACCGAGAAGAAATTTGCAGAAGAGACCCCTAGAAGTATTCATAAGGCACTGACAAAACCACAGTCGAGGAAGGCTGTTTTAGAAGAAATAGAGGCCTTAAAAAGGAATGGCACATGGACAGTTGTTGAGCCACCTAAAGGGAAATGTCCAGTTGGCTGCAAATGGGTGTTTACTATCAAACATAAGTCAGATGGTTTGGTAGAAAGGTATAAGGCAAGATTGGTAGCGAAATGTTTCACACAAACCTTCGGAGTTGATTATAATGAGACATTTGCACCGGTTGCCAAACTCAACATGATCAGAATCCTACTCTCACTTGCTGCTAATCTCGACTGGCCTCTGCATCAGTTAGAGGTCAACAATGCATTCTTGAATGGAACTCTTGAAGAATAAGTGTATATGGATTTACCTCCAGGTTTCGAGGGAGAGTTTGGTTGTAATAAGGTGTGGAGATTGGAGAAGTCTCTCTACGGACTGAAACAGTCTCCTAGAGCATGGTTTGATCGATTTACTAAGGCAGTTAGGAGTTTTGGCTTCACACATGGGCAAGCTGATCATACCCTGTTTTATAAACACTCTGGTGGTAAGGTTTCAATTTTGATAGTATATGTTGATGATATCATTCTAACTGGAGACAACCTTGTGGAGTTATCTGAATTGAAAAAGGTGTTGGCTAAAGAATTCGAAGTCAAGGATTTGGGATAGTTGAGATACTTTATGGGAATGGAAGTGGCTCGCACGCGGAAAGGTATTTCTGTTTCTCAGAGAAAGTATACTATTGATCTCTTAAAGGAAACGGGTATGCTAGGGGCAAGGCCATCCGAGACACCAGTGGAAGTGAATGGATTTGGAAAGAAAAATGAGTTAGGAGATCCTGTAGACAGGAGGAGATATGAAAGGCTGGTGGGAAGACCAGGCTTGACATAGCATTTGCAGTTAGTGTTGTGAGCCAGTATATGCACACCCCTCATGAAGAACATCTCAATGCAGTCAACCGGATTCTAAGATACCTTAAAATGACACCAGGCAAAGGCTTGTTCCTTGGGAAGACTAATAAGAGGCACATTGAAGCTTTTACTGATGCTGACTGGGCAGGTTCAATTGAAGATGGAAACCTTGTTACTTGGAGAAGCAAGAAACAAAATGTTGTGGCTCGCAGCAGCGCAGAGGCTGAGTTCAGAGTTCTAGCACATGGAATTTGTGAGGCTATTTGGATTAGAAGAGTGTTGGAAGAATTGAGATTTGAGAATAGATAAACTTTAAAGGTCTATTGCGACAATCAAGCAGCTTTGTGTATAGCTCAGAATTCAGTTCACCATGATCACACCAAACATGTGGAGATTGACAGACATTTCATCAAAGAGAAGATTGATGAGGGAATAGTGGAGCTTTCTTATGTTCCTTCATCCCAACAAGTAGCTGATGCTTTGACCAAGGGATTATCAAGACAAAACTTTGAATTTCTAGTAGACAAGCTGAGAATGATTAATATATATTCTCCAGCTTGAGGGGGAGTGGAAAAACCGAGTAATTGGAGAGGAATCCGGTTACTTTCCTTATTTGACTAAGTGTAAATTAGTTTCCTGATTTCTAGAGTTATATTAGGAATGCTCTAGGATAATTAGAAGTAAGTTTCTTTTTTATTTTAGGAGAGAATCACCGGGATTTCTCCTTGGATGATTAGGGTTCTTGGTTCTTCTCTATTTAAAGAGAAAGAGTGATTGTAAAAGTGTGT